TGTCGAAGATTTTTATTAATCAAAGTATGAATTAATCAAGCATAATCAAGACGAATCTAGCCACTTATATATCCAGTTATTCTTCCATTATAAACATATATGCCTGTGTGTAAAAACAGCCTACGTGGCAGAATATCCAGACCCTCAGATGAGAAACATCTGGAAAAATAAAAGTGGGCTTTCTTTCTTTACCATAACAAGACTTGGGGGGGCCCCTTCTCTAGGGAAATATCGAATTATATGCATAAGGAAAACTGTATGGAAATATACACCACGCCTTAAAGTCAAAACTGTATATAAAGAGAAGCAGAAAAACATTCTGGAGATGTTTTCTGCAGAGAACTTCTCGGCTTTGTTCTTCTTGAAATAAAGTCTAACTTCTGGAAAGAAAACCCCAAGACTGAGTGTGATTTCTCAGAGCAGCGGCAGATGACATGACAGAGCTACCAAGCATTAGTTGCCCGACTACTTGTCTCAGCTCCGTTTCTGTGTCGAGCTGAAACAAGTGGAAGAGCTCACGTGTTTCAGAGTATTCTTATAGCAAGCTATAACAGTGAGCTGGCGATTTCCCCCCTCTCACTCTAACGTTACCTGCTGCGCTGCACTGACGCAGTCACGTTCATTTGATTTGGCGCTTATGCGTCCAACTCTTGTTCGTGTACTTTTTAGATGCAGACTCCAAGGAGTCCGGCAGCAGATATTTTGTCGTGCACCATGGTCTTGGCGCTTCATGCTAGTGGCAAGCTGTTTTAACATTAAGGCTATAATGGCTCAGGTTGTAGAGTTGAGCAGACGGGTTTTCCTATCTCTCTCTCTCTCTACTTCTGCGCTGCACTAATGCAGGCACGTGCATTTTAATTGGTGCTTACGCTTCCAGCTCTTATTTCGTGTATTGCTTTTAGGCACAGACTCTAGGAGTCCTGCAGCGGATGTTTGTCATTATGGCCTTGGCGCTTCATGCTACCAAGCCTTAATCTGCCCGGCTGTTAATTTTTCTTTCAGCTCCGCTGATGCTTTGAGCTGGAACAAATCAGTGGGCACGCTCACATATCTAGAGTAAATTCCTATGGCAAGCTGTTTTACACCTAATGCCATAGTGACTCGGGCTGCGGAGTGAGCGGGTTTTTCCCTGTCTCCACTCCTGCACTGCATTAATTAGGGCACGTACATTGATTTGGCGCTTACGCTTCCAACTCTTGTTCATGTGACTGTTTTTAAGCACGGACTCCACAGCTGACATTTGCCGTGCGCTATGGTTTTTGGCGCTTCATGCTACCAAAC